GGCTGAAACGCGGAGGGAGGAGGCGGAGAGGGCGTGTGAAGAGGCGGAGAGGCGGAAGGAAGACGCGGAGAGGGAGAGGGACGAGGCGGATAGGGTCCGGGTGGAGGCGGAGAGGGCAAGGGAGGAGGCGGAAACGGCGAGGGGGGAGGCGGAGGGGAGGGCCGCGGAGGCGGAGAAGAGAAGGCAGGAGGAGGAAGAAGCGAGGGTGAATGCGGAGGGGGAGAGAGAGGAGGCGGAGAGGGCGAGAGAGGCTGCTGAGAAGGAACGGGCGGAGGCGGAGAAGCAGAGGGAGGAGGCTGAGGAGCGGCGGGTTGAAGCTGAGAGGAAGCAGGCGGAGGCGGAAGCAGCTCAGGGGGAGGCGGAAGCAGCTCAGGCGGAGGCGGAGGGAGCGAAGGCGGAAGCGGAGGCTGCTAAGGCGGAGGCGGAAGCAGCTAGGAGCGCGGCGGAAGCAGCACAGGCGGAGGCAGAGAGGCGGAGGGAGGAAGCTTTGGAAGCCAAGGCTGCTGCGGAGGCTGGGAGGGCAGCTGCGGAGCAGGCTCAGGCGGAAGAGGAAGCTGCCAGGGCGGAGGCGGAAGGGACGCGGGAGGAGGCGGAGAGGAAGCAGGCAGAGGCGGAAAGGGCGAGGGAGGAGGCGGAAAGGAAGAGGGACGAGGCGGAGAGGCGGAGGGACGAGGCTGTGAGGAAGGAGGAGGAGGCGGAGAGGGCAAGGGACGACGCTGTGAGGGATAAGGAGGAGGCGGAAGGGAAGAGAGACGAGGCAGAGAAGGCTAAGGGAGAGGCGGAGGAAGCACAGGCTCAGGCAGAGAAGGCCAAAGCGCTGGCTGAAGCGGCACGAGCAGAGGCGGAGGCTGCGAGGGATGCGGCGGTTAAGGCGAGGGAGGAGGCGGAGAGGAGGCAGGAGGAGGCGGAGAGTGCTCGTGGTGAGGCTGAGAGGAAACAGGAGGAGGCGGAGAAGGGGAGGGAGGTTGCGGAGCTGGCTCAGGCAGAGGCGGAAGCGAGGCAAGGTGAGGCGGAACATGCAAAGGAGGAGGCGGAGAGGGTGAGGGACGAGGCGGAGAGACAGAGAAATGAGGCTGTGAGAGCTCGGGAGGAGGCTGAAGAGGCGAGGGAGGAGGCGCAGGCAAGGCAGGCTGAGGCGGAGAGGGCGAGAGATGAAGCAGAGGCTGCGAGAGAGGAGGCTGAGAGGGTGAGAGATGCTGCGGAAGCAGCTAAGGAAGAGGCGCTGAGGAAGCAAGCAGAGGCGGAGGAGCAGAGGAAGGAGGCGGAGATGAGAAGGGGGGAGGCTGAAGAGGCCAGGGCAGAGGCAGAGAGGAACCAGGAGGAGGCGGAGGGTAGGATGAGGGATGCGGAGAAGACAAGGGAGGAGGCGGAGAGGGTGAGGGACGAGGACGTGAGGGCAAGGGAGGAAGCTGAACAGGCGAAAGAGGAGGCTGAGAGGAGGCAGGAGGAGGCAGAGGCGAGGCGAGATGAGGCTGTGAAAGCCGAGGAAGTTGCTGAGAAGAAGCAGGAGGAGGCTGAGAAGGAGAGGGAGAGTGCTGTGCAGGCGAAGGAGGAGGCTGATGGGAAGAGAATGGAAGCTGAGAATGCTCGGGATGAAGCTGAGAAAGCTAGAGCTGTTGCAGAGGAGAGGCGGAAGGAGGCAGAGAAGGCCCGTGCCGAAGCTGAGAGTAAGCAGCAGGAGGCTGAGGAGAAGCAGAGGGAGGCAGAGGAGGGGAGGCGGGCAGCGGAGAAGGCACAGGAGGAGGCGGAAGCCAGGCAGGCAGAGGCGGAGAGGGCTCAGAGTGAAGCAGAGAGGAAGGAGAGAGAAGCAGAGCAGCGCAAGGAGGAGGCGGAGGAAGCTAAGGAGCAGGCAGTGAGGGAGAAGGAGGAAGCAGATGCGAAGAGAGAGCATGCAGAGCAGGCCAAGGCAGAGGCTGATGAGAAGAGGGAGCAGGCTGAGCAAGCCAAGGCAGAGGCAGACCGGAAGCAGGCTGAGGCAGAGCGAGCGAGGGAGGCAGCAGAAGCGGAGAGAGAAGAGGCTGTGAGAGTGAGGCAGGCTGCGGAAAAAGCTCAGCAGGAGGCGGAACAGGCGCAGGAGGAAGCGGAGAGGGCGAGGGATGAGGCGGAGAAGTTGCGTGAGGAAGCAGATGGTCTTCGGGCAGATGCGGAGGAGGGGAGGGAAGAGGCTGAGAAAGCAAAGCAGGTCGCACGGGCGAGTCTGCAGGAGTCTCTGGCGTTGCTGGGAGAGGCTGCTGAGGCGAGAGCTGCTGTGGAAAAGGAGCATGCGGAGCTGGGGAGGCTGAAGGTGCAGGCAGAGAGTGCAAGGGCGGAAGCTGAAGCGCAGAGGGATGAGTCTGAGTTGAAGTGGCAGCAGGCTGAGAAGGCTAGAGAGGAGGCGGAACGGAAGAGGAGTGAGGCTGAGAAGGCCAGGGAGGAGTCTGAGCGCAGGAGGGATGAGGCGGAAGGGGTGAAAGAGGAGGCTGTGAGGGTGAAGCTTGAGGCTGTGAACGCGAAACTGGATGCTGAGAGTGCGAGAAATGAGGCGGTGAGGAGGCGGGAGGAGGCGGAGGGGAAGCGAGATGAGGCGGAGAGGAAGCAGCAGGAGGCAGAGAGACTGAGGGATGAGGCGGAGAGGCTGAGGGGGAAGGAGGAGAAGCTGAGGAAGGAGGCAGAGAAGGGGAGGTTGATTGCGGAGCAAGCGCGGGCGGAGGCGGAGCATGCGAGGGATCACACGGCTCATGTGCTGGAAGAGACCAAGAAGGAGCTGGAGCTCAAAAGCCGTGGCTTTTTGAAAAAGGTGTTCAAGTGAGATCGGCATGAGTTTCTTCATATAGTTCTTGGTAGGAGTACCGCGATTTTTCTTTGAGTAAATGACTGTTAGCAGGATTGTTTTGTAGCATTAGGTCTTAGTATTTATTCAGTGACAGTTCATTTTCACCTTGGCTTTCAACATTTTCCCAGTGTAGAAACCCCCTAATGCGTAGGAACAAAGTGCCTCACCGAGGTTTCGGGTGCGGGTGCCCTTATCCTCGTGCTCTCGTGCTCTCGTGCTCTCACCGAGCCTTCGTCCCAACCTGTCACCTTGCCTCGAGTCCGAATCGGGCAACTTGGTCACCGGTGATTCCCCAAATCTACAACCAAAACGGTGCCGGATGGTTCATTTTCTAGTTCGGTCAGGAACCTTTAGTTGTGTAATACCATAAAGATACTTAGGCATGCACAAATGTCAAAGATAAACCCTATAAACTATGTTAGCAGCTGATCACTACATATGCATTATTAAAGTCACTGGCAGGAGAATAAAACGTCAACATAAATAAGGTAACAGAAAAAGGTTTCTGGGGCAGCGGAGCAGATGCGGTTAGTGAAATACGATCTGCTTTGCACCAAAACCTCCGCTGCCACAGCTTTCACCGAAGCCGCCTCCACCCACACAGCTCCACCATCTAACAGCCCTCTAAGCTTCACTCCAGCAGTGAAGGGGGGCGGGCGTTCTGCAAAGCAGCTCGACGTCGCCAGTAAGGCCAACGCCACGTGCGGGCAAGGATAAACTCAAACCTGGAGCTGGATTTTTCACAACTAGAAAATGGAGCTGCCAACTTCCACTGCTGCTGCTGCTGCTGCTGCTTCCAGCTTCAACCTCCAGGTCAAATTTGTGGGAAATCTAGCCAGAGGCTACATGAGGGCTAGAGACCAGTGGTGCAGGCTTGAGACATAATGGTGAGGTGAGGCATGATGGAGCTGCAGCTACCCTGGCTTGAGCGCCCATCAAGCCTTGTTGGCATCGAAAACTGAGTGGCAGATGGATGATGAGAACAAGCCAAATGAAGCGGGTGATGGGTGAAGCGGGGAACGAGAGGGATGATGAGCGGGACAAGAGCAATGATGAGCAGGAAAGGGGGGGAAGTGGGGGGAAGAGAAGGATGAGAGGGATTAGGAAGATGAGAGTAAGGGAGGTGAATAACAGGGATCGGCCAGTGATGCCGGGCGTGCGTAACATTTGAGAACTCTCAGTGATCGATAGTAGCAGTGTGCTGGGCGTTTGTTGCGTTTGACAACACCCAATGATCGATAGTAACGTTATGCTATGCGCATGTGGTAATGCAAGGCATGACCATGAAACAACATCATCTTGTCCAAGGGCATGTGTTTGTGACAAAAGAGCATGTTGCGAGATGGCATGAGTACGAATGCGAGGGCATGTGTTTGTGACAAAAGAGCATGTTGCGAGATGGCATGAGTACGAATGCGAGGGCATGCTATGCAGAGAGGCATTATGAACGGGTGAGCACCAGACTGATGCAGCACATCACATGGAACATGGAGGGCAATAGTGGAGCTCCAATTAGCATGGAGTGTGGGGGGGCGACTCACATGACATGATGGTGCCCCATACTGACTGGTTTTGATCTGCCAGAGAGGAGAGAGACAGGGTGGGCGGGTTGTGGGGATGGGGGGGTGAGAGGTTGAGCGGATGAGGGGGAGGAGGCAAGTCAGGTTTGGATTTCCTCGTAAGTGATGGTGGGAGGGAGGCAAGTCAGAGTGGCCCCATACTAACTGGTTCTGGTCTGCTACAGAAAAAGGAGACTGAGGGGTCGTGGGGGTGAGGGGATGAGAGGGTGAGGGGACGAAGGGGAGGGAGGCAAGTCAAGTCTGAAAATCTTAATATGTGTTTTGAGACGTCTCAAAATGTGTGATGATATTGGGTGGTTATTGTTTGGCACAGGTGAAGTGATTATAAGATCATCACAATCCATGCTAAAATTACTTTTGCACCTCTTTATGTGCAGTAAATGGCTTAGTTTTTACCTTAGGGTGCCAGGCAACATGAGTGCTATTATGCTTGTCCATTTCCTTATCACTAACGTTTCTACTCTCATTTCAAACCAGCATGTGTGAGAAAGCTAGCGTGCACAAGCGTACTCAACCACACTCCAACACCGCACACCGCGTCCCACCACTCACCTCCATTCAGCAATCACAGCACCACTTCCTCTTCCTTAGACAAGCCAACCGAACCATCACCCCACCCCAAATCGGACCTCCATACCAATCGCAAACGTCTCACAACCAGCACCCCAAGCCTTACCTCCATTCATCGATCGCAGCACAGCAACGAGCCTTTTCCTCTGCTCCTCGGAAGCCAGCAGACTCTCTGTGAGGTTCTTCACCGTCTGCCTCTTAGCATCCACCATCGCCTCCATGCCCTCCTCAGCCAAAACCTTCCCTGACCAAACCTTGGCCAACCAATCCAAACCACACCACACAACACACCACACCAGAACCCAACCCTTACCTCCATTCACCGATCGCAGCAAGGCAACAAGCCTCTTCCTCTGCTCCTCCGAAGCCAGCAAACTCTCCGTCAGATTCTTCACCGTCTGCCTCTTGGCATCCACCATCGCCTCCATCCCCTCCTCAGCCAACCGCCGCCCCTCCTCCGCCTGGTCCCTAGCTTCTTCCGCCGCTATCCTCCTCTCCTCCTCCGCTTCTAGCTCTTCTCTCAGCTTTCCCAGCTGCTCCTCCGCCTTGGACGCTCGGAGCTCCAAGGCTTGACGCAGGAGTCGCATTTTTTGGACTTTTTCTTCGGCTTCGGCGAGACGGGCGGCCCATTCTGTCTCTTGTGCCTGCAGCAGCGTTTGCACCTCTGCTTCTGTTTTCATCCCAGCCATCAAGGCTTCCATTTCCTTTATCTTGGCCATTGCCTCTAACTTTGACTTCATTTCCTTGTCATCCTCTTCCTCTTCCTCGTCTTCGTCCTTCTTCTTCTTCTTCTTCTTCTTCTTCCCTTTATCCTTTTTATCCTTCTTGCCCTCTTTATCCTTCCTATCCTTCTTTTTCTTACCCTCCTTATCCTTCTTCTTATCTTTCTTCTTCTTCTCCTTCTCATCGTCATCCCCCTCCTTGTCACTCCCACTCTCGCTGCTGCTATCGCTGTCACTACTACTCTCACTCTTGTCACTCCCCTTCTCACTCCCCTCCTCACTCCCCTCTCCATCCTTCACATGGTTCTGACCTGCACCAGCTTCCACCTCCCCCTCTTCCACTCCTCCCTCTTCCTCCTCTTCTTTCCCTTCCTCTACCTGCAAGCCATTAGCCTCCACTGCCGCTTCCCCCTCTGCCTTCCCCTCCTCTTCCATCCCATTCTCACCATCAACATGAATAGTAACTCCCTCCTCCTCCCTCTCCTCCTCAACCCCACCCTTATCTTTCTCCTCCGTTTCCTCCCCTCCCCCCGGTTCTCCCTCCAATTGCTCCGCACTCGCTGCTTCCCCTATCACCTCCTCTTCTGCTCCTTCCTCCACCCTGGACTCACCCATCTCTCCTCCAACCCCCTCTGCCTCGGAACTCTCCTCCTCTTCCCCCTTCTCGTCCTCCCCTTTCTCATCACCCCCCATCTCCCCATCCTGTATTCTCTCCTCGCTTTCTTCACCTGCCCGTTCATCCTCCCCATCGCCGCCACCTGATGACACAGATGCCACGTCAGCATTTTTCTCCTCCGCATCCCCTTCTTTACCCCCCTCCGCCTCCTCCGCCGCCCCCTCCCCTTCAGCCTCGCCGCTTGCCCCTACAGCTGCCGCTTCACTACCTTCTTCTCCTCCTCCTTCTGTCCGCTCTCCTCCCTCCTCCTCTCCTCGATCTTCCTCAACTTCCGCTCCCACTTCGTTTCTCACCTCCTCGCCACTTCCCTCCTCTTCTCCCTTCTCTCCTTCTCCTTGTCCTCCTGAGCTCTCCTCCTCACCTTTCTCCTCCACCAGTCCGTCCCCTGTGTCACCTTCCTTCCCCTCGTCCTCCATCTCTCCTTCTGCCGCTCGTGACTCCCCATCACTCGTCGTTCCCTCCAGATCCCCCCCTTCACCTCCACCAGCAGCATCACTCGGCTCACCAGTTGCCTCCCCACTCGCCTCCCCACTCGCCTCTTCGTTGGTCTCCTCACCTGCTTCTGCACTCGACTCGGCTGTAGCCTCGGCTGTAGCAGCCTCCTCTGCAGCCACTTCCTCTGTGTTCATACCTCCCGGTTCAGTCACACCCGCCTCTGCATCCTCAGCCTCCCCTTTGTCGCTCCCTTGATCGTCATCTCCCTTTGACTGTTCCCCTTCCGCCTGCTCCCCTTCCGCCTGCTCCGCTTCCGCTTGCTCGGCTTCCGCCCGCGCAGCGTCGCCGGCTTCCGCCTCTGTTTTCCCATCAGCAGCGCTCTCAGCATCCGCCTCGCTGATCCCCTCAGCCGCCTCTTCCACCTTTTCTTCCGCTTCCTCTTCCGCAACCGCCTCAGCAGCTTCACCTGCTTCGGCTTCTCCTGTCGCGTTCGCTTCTCCGCTTGTTTCTTCTGCTTCACCTCCTTCAGCCGCTTCTCCCGAGTCGCTTGCTTCTCCTGCGTCACCAGCACCACTCGTTTCACCTGCTTCAGTTGCTTCACCCGCTTCAGCAGGGGTAACTTCCGCTTCTACCCCCCCTTCTTCGTCACCAGCATTTCCCCCTTCGCTTTCCTTCTCTCCATCATTTGCATCATCCTTCACTTCTTCGGCTGTTTCCTCTTCTCCCGTTCCCTCGTCCCCAACTTCCTCAGCTTCTTCTCCTCCTCCTTCTCCTTCACCCCCACCACCATCATCGCCTGCTGCTTCCTTAGCAGGAGGCTCAGCCGCCTCTCCCTGTGTAACCTCCTCAAGCGGCGCATTTTCCGCTTCTTCCGCGTCCGACATTGTAGCGTGTGTTTAAGACGAAGAACCTAGAAGCTGATCGAGAGATGCTATTTCCGGGCTTCGGAAGTTTGGGGCCTGGGCAAATTGGATCCTGGAAGCACCGACGTTGTCGCAACGGAATAGCTGGTGGGAAACAATGGAAAGCACTCAAATTGCAATATTGAAAAATTGCCCTAGAATATTGGTTATTCGATCGCAACAGTCTTGCCGAACATAGAATAGAGCACTTCGCACTACAAACTAATCGGTGGACCGAACACGCTCGCTAATGCAATCCTTCCTGAAAAAAAAAGCAAGAGCACTTTCAAAGCGGACGCGTATACTCAAGTCTCGCAAACTCTATCTTGAAAGCTGGAACCGCAAATGACGCGTGAGCATGCGGATAGCTGATGGATATCCCTCACCTTCCTTCCTTGCATGTCAATCCCTGAAGTCACCTCACCTCGCCCTCTTTCCACAGCTCAGGCCTGTTTTCTCCCAACCGTTTCCTCCCCATCCAACTCCTAGGTCAGGGCTCAGGAGGAGGACTCGAGGCTCGGGGATTTAGGACAGGACCTAGGTTTCGTCCCGTCGTGCCTCGGCAGGTCCTGGTTTTGGCCCCTGTCGAACCTCCTACAGGTAAAGGTTTTCTGAGGTTTGGCTTCTCACCTACCTTCACCTCGCCACGGCGAGCAGCCTCGCTTGCGCCAGAAATATAGGCTCGGAGAGGTAAGGGAATGATTATGACGGGAGATTGTGGTTCGGTCTTGTATGAGGGCGAATAGCATGACAGACCAGCTGGCTGATGATTTTGTCGTTGAGGTTCGGACGTGGGGCCTAACCTCTAGTTAGTGACTGCGCCGTGAGAGCAACGAAATCTTCGCGGCACGGCTTCCACGTCGAGCTTCTGCAATGAGGTTGTTGCGAAGAGTATGCGAAGAAGCATGTACTTCGTTGACGTGATAACAGCGAGGCTTACATTCTGATTGCGCGAACAGCAATTCTTGTATCACTACATCGTGGAATGTTCATGAAGCATTTCAAGATACAGCAATTATACTTATGGTTGTACCTGGCAATCAGGTCTTTTCTTCAAATGGCACAATCAGCCTTACATAAGAAACCAATTATCCGAGCCCACTAGACTACCAACTGCATAGTTTCACTTACTCCTTTAAGACAGAGGCCGCAGCACTCCACCTCGTAGTATCCCACTTATCCTCCAAGTTAGGATTAGGAACTTGGAGGAGGTAATTAAAACATCCCTGTAACGCTAACATGAGAACAGTACCACAACTACTGATTGTCGTCCAAAGCAACTGAATAGAAGAAGCACCTCAGAGTGCCCTCCCTAGTCTCTAGGTTTCTTTTCAGTTGGCCGCAGCTTTCAGCTCTAGCTCCTTCCGATCCCTCGCCTGCTCCGCCTGCACTCTCGCTTGCTCCGCAGCCAGCCTCCCCTTCTCCGCCTCCTCCCTCAACCTCTCCGCCTCCTGCTGCTTCCTCTCCACCTCACCCCGCTTCCCCTCCGCCTCCTCCTTCCTCCTCTCCGCCTCCTCTCTCGCCCTCTCCGCATCCAGATTCGCCCTCCCAGCCTCCTCCTTCGCCTTTTCCGCCTCACTCCTCTTCCGATCCGCCTCCTCCTTCGCCTTCTCAGCGTGTTGCTTCTTCTCCTCAGCATCCCTCCGCTGCGCCTCCGCCTTCTCCCGCGCTCTCTCTGCTTCGCCCTTCCGCCTCTCCAGCTCCGCGTGCTCCTTTTCCGCCGCAGCTCTCGCCTCCGCGGCCCTTTCTTTCAGCGCCACAGACTCCTCCAGTCGCGCCCGCGCGCTCTGCTTCGCCTTCTCCGCCTCTTCCCTCTTCCCCTCCGCAGCAGCCCGAGCAGCCTCCGCCTTCTCCTGAGCCTGCTTCGCCTCGCCCCTCGCCCTCTCCGCTTCTTCCTTCGCCAGTTCCGCCTCCCGCTGGGCTGTCTCCGCAACCTCCCTCCCGCTCACAGCCTTCGCTCTCGCAGCCTCGGCTGTCTCCCTCGCTTGCTCTGCCTCAGCCTGCTTCCGGTCTGCCTCTGCCTTGGCTTGCGCAGCTTTCTCCCTCTTCTCATCAGCCTCCGCCTTCGCCTGCTCCGCGCGCTCTCTCTTCGCATCTGCCTCCTCCCGCGCACTCACCGCGCGCTGCTTCGCCGCATTCGCCTGCTCCTTCGCTTCCGCCGCCTCCGCTTTCCGCCGCGCTGCTGCCTCCGCCTTCCTCTCCGCTTCCGCCTGCGCGCTCTCCGCCTCCGCCTGCCGAGCTTGCGCCTCCTCTTTGGCCTTCTCCGCGATCCTCCGCTTTTCTTCCGCCAACCTTCGCTTCTCCTCCGCCGCCTGCAGCTTTACTTCCGCCTCGACGCGTAATTTCACAGCCTCCGCGCGCCTCTCCTCCGCCGCAGCTCTAGCCTTTTCCGCGTCAGCGCGAGCACGCTCGGCTATCAGTCTCTTCGCGTGCGCCGTGTCGGCCCCATTGCCCGAACCTGCTTGAGACACGGCCATGAAAGAAACACTACTAGGATCAGCTACGATGTAATGAAGAATCAATGTTATTCACCGCACCAATCCACGCACACTCTTGTTAGAATCCAATTCACGCCCTTCTTTGTTAGGAAATAATTCACGCGCGCTCTTGCTAGGAAGCGTGACTGCCGCCAGAAAATGGAGTCATATGGGCAGGACTAATTTTGCCCCTTTTTCTGGAAAAGGCGAACATTTGCGACATCAGGTTACTGCAGCGGAATTTTGTTTCGTCAATGAAAGTGTTGCTATTTGTGGTGGTGGTTTTGTGGGCGCCAAGGCCGCCACTGTGGTGGGGTGTGGAGGACAGTCAAGAGGGTACGATGCCAGGTCAGCAGCCGCGAATGGAGATAACGTGCGACATGTTCGCATGTGCCCCGGCTCCCACAGAGCTTGGCGAAAGCGGACGAGTGAGCGAAGCTTCTGGCTGCGAGGACAATAACGAGGTTCGCTCAAATTTTTATAATATTTACATGGTATCTCCTAGAACACTCAGTACTGGTTACGATGTTATAACACCATTCCCTTTTGACCTACTGGATACTAGAGGCAAGAACTCATTGAACTCTTCAATTAGGCCAAAGTTTGTATGGAGCATTAGCACAACATGATCCTGAAACTGATGCTCATGACTTAGGGCATACATTGTGGAAAACGTGGCATCCATCACTTGGCTTACCTCTTTGTACCCCATCCCAAAACCCTCCCACCAACACGGTGGAAAAATTGCCCAAGCTGCACTATTTGTGTGCTAGTCCGGTTACAGGTTATTCTCCATGTACCGTAAGCGATCTACAGTAAAATTGGGTACACTATAGGATGCACATCTTCTACCTACGGGGTTCTCAAATCCTTCAGCCCACACTGCCATAGGACCACCTATCACCTCACCACCGCCTGACAAGTGATGTCAGCAACTGCAACCAAAGCATCATGGGAAAAGGGAGGGGGTGTGGTGGAAGGGAGAGTTATGGTCTAGAGTGCACATTTTCTACCTTCCATGGTTTTCAGTCATCTCAGGCCCAGCTGCAATTGCACTGCCTATCACCTCACCACCGGCTGACAAGCGATGTCAGCAACTGTTACCAAAAGAAGCTTCTAAGAAGAGGGGATGTGCCAGAAGGGAGGGACGAGGGGACTACAAGAAACCGAGGGGCAGTAGGCATAAGATAACATGCCGGCGTTGCCCCCACCGTCCCCCCCTCCCCCCCCCCCCAAAAAAAGAATGCTATTTTAATGATGGTCAGGGAATGTCACCAAATCCACTGGCACCCCCATTGAGATGTGAGACCAACTCACCTCCAGCAGCTAAAAAACACTTTCAAATCCACACCCACCTGCAGCCACTCCTAACCCGAAACAATAAACCCGTGGTTCAACTGACCTGCGCAACTATCTCCTCTACTGAACAGCGAAACCACCTCACCTCCAGCAGCTCAAACACACTCCCCTTGCGGTCCAGCTTGGACTTCTCCCCGCCATCTCCAGGCATAGCCGCAGTGAGGGCAGCCCTCCAACCGAGCATGAAAACTGCAGTCATGACGATTGCGACTGCTAGGAAGGGCAGCGTCTATCACAGCCCACTACTCACCTCCTGCAGCTCAAACACACTCCCCTTGCGGTCCAGCTTGGACTTCTCCCCGCCACCCCCCGGGAAACCAGCAAGCAGAGGTGATATGTGAGTCGACTCAAACAATCACATTCGATCCCATCCCACTACTCACCTCCAGCAGCTCGAACACGCTCCCCTTGCGGTCCACCTTGGACTTCTCCCCGCCATCTCCAGGCAGAGCCGCAGCGAGGGCAGCCCTCCAACCGAGCATGAGCAGTGAGGTCATGACGATGGCGACTGCTAGGAACGGCAGCTGAGGCGGCTGGCCCTTGATGAGACTACGGAACGCAATGCCTAGCTGGAGTTGGGGAGGGGGGAGGAGGGAAGGAGGAGAGAGAGATGGGGGAGAGAATGGGGACAGTAAGGCAGTGCGGGCAGCTGAGGAGGCTGGCCCTTGATGAGACTACGGGATGCAATGCCTAGCTGGAGGAGAGGAGGGGTGGGAGAGAGGAAGAGGAGAATCGCGTTAGGAAGGGAAGCAGCGAGGGCAGCCCGCCATCCAAGCACACGGTAGCTGCCAAGGCGACCACCACCACTCCTCTCAACACCCCAGTACCACTCACCCGCATTACTAACAACCCAGCGCCCACGTCTTCCCTGCCAACTTGGCAGCATTGGCTCGTGTTCATGCTCCTGTGCACCCCGTACTTGCCCTCAGCACTCCCCTCAACACCCTCACACCACTCACCGGTACCCCCCCGCGCCCACGTCTTCCCTGCCTCCTTGGCAGCGTCTCCTGGCGACCATGCTCCCACTCACCCCTTACTTGTCACCAGCACCAACACAGCACCCATAGAACCCTCAGCACCCTCAGCACCCTCAGCACCCTCCGCAACCCACAGAACTCACCGGCACGCCCAGCGCCCACGTCTTCCCTGCCTCCTTGGCAGCATCTCCTGGTGTTGCGGGCAGAGGCCTCCCAACGCTGTAGTCGCCGAATATGATGGCCGAGATGAACCAACCTGGTGGGTGGGGAGTGTGTGGGGAGTGTGTGGGGAGGGGAGGGAAGGGGAGGAGTAGGGGGGGCAGTGGATGGAAGTGGGAGGAAGAGATTGCGTGAGGAATAGAGGCTTACAATCACAACGCTGTAATCGCCGAAGATGATGGCAGAGATGAACCAGCCTGGTGGTGGGGGGGGGGGGGGGAGGAATGTGGAGAGGGGTGTGGCCGAAACCAGCTTGACAACGCTGTAGTAGCCAGAAAATGATAGCAGGGAGTTGACTTTTGAGTCGACTCAAAAGAACGAGTTGACTTTTGAGTCGACTCAAAAGAACGTGGAGGGGTGTGGCCGAAACTAGCTTGTCAATGCTGTAGTAGCCAGTAAATGATAGCAGGGATGAACCAGCCTGGAGAGAGTGTGTCGAGGGGGGAGAGTACGTGTGTGGGGAGAGGGGGAGAGTGTGTGGAAGAGCGAAAGGAAGTAAGAGAGAAAGGAAGTGGGAGAGAAAGCATTACAAGAAATCAGAGAGGCGCAGCGGAGAAGATTGGAGCAGCGTCATTCTTATGAGGGTGACATGGAACCAAGGGTTGAGATGAGCGTGTTTAACCACAAGAATCGGCTGAGAGGTTCTGATGAGCTCCCAGTCAATGGCGGCGGACGTGCTTCTTTCAATTCTTTCATCTGACCCAAAACAAGTGAGCGTGTTTACCAGCAAGGAACGGCTGGGCGGTTTTGATGAGCTCCCAGTCAATGGCGGCGGACACGTGCGTGGCTCTTGACAACCCCACCCTCATGGACTGTCTATCACACAAGCGAGCAAGCATGCTTACCAGCGAGGAACGGCTGGGCTGTTTTGATGAGCTCCCAGTCGATTGCGGCAGACACGTGCGTGGCTCTGCCAATGTATGCGAAGAGAATGAGCACCGCCGCGTCTCCGCCCGCGGTGAGGAGCGCGCGACTGGGGTTGGGGGGAAAAGAAGGGCGCGGGGAAACCGACGGCAAGGGGGAACACACGTAAAAGGGGAACGCCACGGGAGGGGAGAAAGTGAAGGAGGCGGACACGTGCGTAGCTATGCCGATGTAGGCAAAGAGTATGAGCACCGCCGCTGTGAGGAGCCCGCAACTGGGGAAGGAGGGATTCCGGGGAGCGGGGGAAGAGAAGGGGAACGGAAAGTCAAGGGGCAATGCAGAAAGCCTGAAACAGCAGTCTTTTCCCCGTTTCCTGTTTCGATGCTACTAACGCTACTAGATTGCGTAGTACAGAAACCTCACCTTTCTTTTGGCGGATTCGTTCTCCACTATCCGTACATTCTCTTGAGATCCCACAACGACTTGTATGTGCGTCTTGAGAATTTGCAAAAAAAGCAGAACGTTATTCACATCCTGCGACCATGCGGAGCGGACAATTAATCGCAATGGACCGCGTTGGATCGCATTGACGCGGAACGGTCTGGACAATGGAGACAGACTGTGCGACGATGGCGAACGATTTGTGCTTTTCTCCGCGACCCACTTTAGCGACACCTAGAGAGTGGCCTGTGCGATAGTGGAGCGTGGTATGCGATTATGCGAACGAGCTGTGCGACACATTGTGACTCACGCGAGCGTGGACGAGCTTTCTCCGCGATCCACTTTAGCCACGCCCTCTACAGTCACACCGCGCTCCTCCACGGATCTCCCCGGCGCCAACAAATCATCCGCCGCGCTTCCGCCTTCCGGCTTCTTCACCCGCCGAATCGTCTTCTTCTTCGGCGGAGCTTCCGCGGATCCCGCGGAAGACGCATTCTCGACCACGGGTTCCGCGTCCCCCCCTGACGCGTCTGCGCGTACGCGGAAAGTGAATCGCGGAGCTTTTCCCGCTGAACGCAGCGGGGAGAATGAAGAATGCGCCAATGGAAGAGATGTAAGTCTGGACACAGCCAGAGCGGAAGACGCGGAGAGAGCCGCCATGTTTCGATCCTAGTGATGATAAAAAAAGCACGAGCTGACGCTCTCTCAATGAACAAGGCTTCTTTCAGACGAAAAGAACAGGAAAGACTGGGCTTGGACAACAAAACTTCTCAAACAACCGAATGGTTATGGTGGAAGTCCTAGGGGGGGAAGAAATAGCTCTTGGAGAGTGAATCCGAGAAGTAAAATGGAATGATCTCTCAGAACGGACCCGTGCGGCCTTCGGATTTGCCCAGCCTCACGCAGACGAATTTCGAAATCGAGTGCTGATGACAGAAGGGGGTGGCGGCTTGGCGGGAAATTCGCGAGTGGGCAAGCCACATCACCCCTCCTTGTGCTGAGCTGTAAATCTTCAAGATTTCCGTCGCGTGTCAAGCTGATTCGTGAAACTTCCTAAAATCTAGAAATCCATTCATTACACTTTTTTAAAACAAAGTGAGTGAAACAAACATTTCACTATATGAACAGAAGATTACAAGACTACATACAGAAGAGCACAGCACCAACGGTCCCAGCTCAGCCCCAGAACCTGGAAACACCCCAAAGATCAGCTGTCCTGACACCAACAACCACCTCTCCCCTGCCAACCTTCATGCTGGCCTTGTGAAGCACCACCAAGCAACCAGCCTTGCCAGCACCGCCAAGCACCAGCCTTGCCAGCGCCGCCAAGCACCAGCCTTGCCAGCGCCGCCAAGCACCAGCCTTGCCAGCGCCGCCAAGCACCAGCCTTGCCAGCGCCGCCAAGCACCAGCCTTGCCAGCGCCACCAAGCACCAGCCTTGCCAGCGCCACCAAGCGCCAGACTTGTCAGCGCCACCAAGCGCCAGACTTGTCAGCGCCACCAAGCGCCAGCCTCGTCACATGCAACCAGCTAGGTCATAGCAGCATGTCTCCCTCCGGAACCACAACACAACCAGCGAAGGAATTAGGCGCGCTCCGCCCTGCCGGCCTTCCTGCTGGCCTTGTCAAGCGCCACCAGCTCGCGCACGGTACGCTTGTAACTGCCATCATGCTTCAGCAGCAGACGCATGTTCATCTCCTTGTCCGTAAAATCCTGCTCACAGCACCACACACGCACATCAGACCACCAAACACAAGTCAGCACACATCACATTGCCAATGCCCGACTAAAAGCCAAAACCTCCTCTCCCACCCCCATCCAAACCCACAAGAAAGATTGAGGCCACAAAAAGAAAGAAAAAAAAAACTCACCATTTCTTCCAGCTCGTCCATCTTCTCCTGCCACTCAATATAACCTTCACGAGCATGGTTACTTTCGAGTCAACTAGTCACCTCAGTACTCACCATTTCCTCGAGTCACCTAAGTACTCACCATTTCCTCGAGTCACCTAAGTACTCACCATTTCTTCCAGCTCGTCCATCTTCTCCTGCCACTCAATATAACCTTCACGAGCATGGTTACTTTCGAGTCAACTAGTCACCTCAGTACTCACCATTTCCTCGAGTCACCTAAGTACTCACCATTTCCTCGAGTCACCTAAGTACTCACCATTTCTTCCAGCTCGTCCATCTTCTCCTGCCACTCAATATAACCTTCACGAGCATGGTTACTTTCGAGTCAACTAGTCACCTCAGTACTCACCATTTCCTCGAGTCACCTAAGTACTCACCATTTCCTCGAGTCACCTAAGTACTCACCATTTCTTCCAGCTCGTCCATCTTCTCCTGCCACTCAGTCGTAACCTTCACGAGCATGGTTACCACCTCGTCCATGTTCCCATTAGTAAACTCCAGAAGCTCCCCATTCAGAGCAGGATAGGGGAACCCCATCTCCACCAGCTGCTGCACCTGGCTGCCGTATCTCCCCCCATAAACCACAGCAGGTGCAGACGGGGCAGATGAAACAGCTGCAGCAGCAGGAACATCCACAGGAGCAGCAGGAGCAGCAGGAGCAGCAGCAGCGGGTGCGGACGAGTTGACGATGAGAGGCGGGGTCTCCATCTCAATCTCCTCTTCGTCATCCAGGAAGCTGGCAGGCGATGGCATGGCAGCAGGCACAGACGGCACATTCACATAGTCATCCCCTGTCAGCAGATCCTCTGTCACTGCACCAGCAGCAGCCCCAGAAGAAGCCGCAGCAGGAGCAGCCTCTTCCACCAGCACCCCGATGCTCTCAACCGACGGATACACGGACTGGCCCGGCGCAGCGGGAGCAGCAGGAGCAGGCGCAAGGGAAGCAATGGAGGCAATGGAGGGGTAGGAGACATTCACGAGGGAGAAGCTGCCTACAGCAGTGTCCTCAGCCCTGGCGGGGGACACAGAGGAGGCAGCATCGGAGGAGGATGAAGCAAGGGCCGGCGGGAGTACAGAAGAAACGTCTGAAGCGGAGAGGGCAGGGGGGATGCTCTCTGAGGTGGTGGCATCTGTGGTGGTGCTGGTGGTGCTGGTGGTGCTGGCGGTGTCGTCTGCGGGCGAAGGGGTGCGCAGGTCTGTCCACTCCTCATCAGCAGCAGCAGCAGCAGCAGCAGCAGCAGCAGCAGCAGCGTCTGCAGCAGGAGCAACAACTGCATCCACAGCAGCAGCAGCAGGCACGGCAGGCGCGGCAGGCACAGCAGGTTCAACAGAGGCAGGGGCGACGTCAATCACCACGTCGCCCACAGCAGCCATGGCTGCACCAACATCAGACTCGGCAGCAGCACCAGCACCAGCGGCTGCCGACCCGATGTTGTCAGCAGCGTTGCGGATCGCAGTGATAATCGGATCCTCCCACTCCTGCGCCTCCTCCTCCTGCTTCTCCTCTTCTACCACCTCCACGTCGTCCTTCACCTCCTTGACTTCTTCCTTCTCAACCACCTCACGCGCCTGCACAGCAACTTCAACCTTCTCCTCCTCCTCCTCCTCCTGCTCCTCCCGCTTCTCCTGAGCACTCCCAGCCTCCTCCTTCTCCTCTGCTACTTCCACGACAGATACCGCACCACTCTCCTCCACAGCCTCCTCAGCACATGGCTGCTCCACAACAGCAGCACCAGCAGCAGCGTCTTCCACTGGAGTAGCATCAGCTAGTACGCTTTCTGCGTCCGTACTGGGGCTAGCCTTCACACAAACGGCTTCAGGCAGGGAGGGAGACTCAGACTCAGCAGCAGCAGCAGGCACAGGAGGCGCAGACGCAGCAACAGGAGCGGCAGCAGGGGCAGCAGCAAGGAGAGGCGCCGGTTCTTCATCCATTGCACTGGCCTCCACGACCTGAACACCACACACAGGAGGGGCAGACAGACAAGGCAGACATGGGTGAATACATGCGCACTGACAGAGGCAAAAGGCAAGAACCAACAATGCCCTCCAAAACGAATGAAAACACTCTAAGGGGATAAGAGGCATGCTGACCTGGATCTGAGCCCAGAAGCGGTGTCCAAACTTGGGCCCACCAGGGGCCAGCAGGCGCCAGTGAGACATGTACCGCCCGGGGCGGGCAGGTGCTGCCATGTCCACCGCCACATCAACCTCCTGTTCAGGGTACACGCCCCCTCGTGGCAACTGCAAAGAGAGGAAGGCATGAATGACAACAAAATGCAAAAGAGGATGAGTGTGGGAGACGACAAGGGAGGAAGGGGGACGAGCTGGTGCTGCCATGTCCACCGCCACAAGGGATACACCCCTCCCCTGCAAGGGATACACACCTCCTCGAGGCAACTGCACACATGGGCACTAGAACAACCAGCAGAGATGACAAACCCATGCACAAGGGTGAGTTTCAGGTGCAACCCGAGCAGCTTAACGCGTCCACCTCCTGCTCCACGCAAATGCTCCAAGCCCTAGGAAAAAAAACTGAAAGACTCACCTCCAGGGAAACGGTGCTGGTCTCTGAGAGCAAGTCCCCGCCAGCGTGGATCACTTGCAGGTCGCACGGCCACGGCACACTCCCGCTGTTGCGCAGGCGCCAGATCTTGGTGAACCTCGTGAGGGGAGCCATCTCGGTGCCGTCGTGCACACTCACGTCCCGCACAAACCGCGCGTCCAGCAGCCTCCCATGCGCCCTGCCATACTGCAGCTGCCCCACCGTCCCCCCCACTGCTGCGCCCACGGTTCCGGCCACGCTGCTGCTGCCAGTGAAAGGAGTGTTGTTCGGGTGGTAGTGAGGGTGCTGGTGCTGGTGGTGCTGGTGCATGTGGTGCTGGTGCTTGTTGAAAGGAGACCCAGGGCCCCATGCGTGTGGCATTGAGTGGTGGGAGAAGGGGCAGTGCGGGCGCGGGGCGAAGAAGGGGCGACCTCCTCCTGGCTGCTGTGGAAGAGGGAGAACACGAGAGACAAGAAGCGATTGATCAGCAGCGCAGAAGAGCAGCTTTTATCATCGAATCTAAAGTGCGACCAGGAGAACAAAGCTTGTGAGTGTGCGTGCAATGTAAACCAATCAGCACGATGCAGTGCCATGCATCTAGTTTTGAGACGTCTCAAAACACGATGCAGTGCCATGCATCTCAAAACACGATGCAGTGCCATGCATCTCAAAACACGATGCAGTGCCATGCATCTCAAAACACGATGCAGTGCCATGCATCTCAAAACACGATGCAGTGCCATGCATCTGCTGCGCTGCTCACCATGCCAGCCATGGCAGCGGCGTGGGCGGCCATGTGCTGCAGACGCGAGGGGCGGAAGAGGGGGCGGTCGATGCACTCATAGTGCTCCGGCACCACGCCGGCCTTGCTGTAGCACGCCTCGCACAGGTCAAAGTCATCCTTCCTGCACGAACCACGCACAGAAAATGGAAATTTATTCACATGCCGGGTAAAAAGGGATGGCGGTAACAAAAAGGGGGGAAAAAAAGGAAAAGAAGAAGAAAACAAAAACTGGAGAAGCAGCAAGAGGAGTGTGCAGGCCACGAAGAAGGCGATGCACTCACACAAGGGAGCGGTATCGCTTGCCCTGGATGGGGCGCTTGTCACAACCGTCACAGATGATGCCGTAATGCACCGCCTTGGCAGCCTCACTCACTCCCTGCGCAGCACCACCCTGGGACGCAGCACCACCCTGGGACGCAGCAGCAGAGGCGGATGCTGCAGCAGCAGCGGCAGTACCAGCAGAACAAGCAGCATCCTTCGGATTGACAGGGAAGTAGAACTTGGCAGGCGGGGGGCTCTCGATGCATTCATAGTTCTCTGAGATGGACCCCTCCTTGCTGTAACACGCCTCGCACAGGTCGAAGTCATGCTTCCTGTACAGGCCACACACACAAGCGATGGTAACAAAGAACACGGTTACTAAAAGAAGAGACACAATATAGAATAGGAAAATGGCAAAAAAAAGTACAGCTAAATTCCTCATAAAGCAAGGGCTCACTGCGAGAACTGCTTACACGAGGGAGTGGTAACGCTTGCCCTTGAGAGGGCGCATGTCACAGCCATCACAGGTGATGCCGTAGTGAACCGCCTTAACACTCGCGGAATCTGAGGCCGACGCAGCGGCTGCAGCAGAAGGAGCCGTGGCAGCAGCAGCAGCAGCAGCGGCAGGAGCAGGAGCAGAGGAGGAGGGAGCGTCCTTAGGCTTCAGATCGAGCGCGTCTGCTGCAGCAGCAATCGCAGCAGCCACTGCAGAGGTCGCAGCGGCAACATCAGCCGAAACCGCAGCAGCTATGTCAGCAGCAGCAGCAGCGGAATCAGCGGCGGCAGCGGCAGCAGCAGCAGCGGAATCCACAGCGGCAGCAGCAGCAGCAGAATCCGCAGCGGCAGCAGCAGCAGCAGAATCCGCAGCCGCGGCAGCAGCAGACGAGGAGGAAGGCTTGGAAGACCCACAACCACCGCTGTACCCCCCATGCTGCTGCTGCTGCTGCTGGCGGCGGTGGTGCATCTCCAGAATCGGCTCAAACACCACGTCAAGCCCGCTCCGCCGCGCCGTCGCCAACACCTGCGCAATCTTCCCAGGAGCATCCTTGAGAATTGGCCCGTACTGCGCCAGCATGCGCTCCAGCTGCCCGCCCGAAGCCAGCGCCTTCAGAATCTGATTCTCCACCGCGGTTGCAAACTCCGCGACTTTCGCCTCAAACGCCTCGTCAGGGTTCTCCGGGACGGACGGCTCGCTGGGCTGTGCCGCGGTGGGAGCGGCTTCAGGAGCAGGCTCAGAGGTGGAAGCGTCAGGAGCGGCAGGAACGGGCTGCGTAGGAGCAGGAGCAGCAGCAGGAACTGGCGCAGGAGAAGGTTCGTCAACCGCAGCGGTCGAAACAGCAGGAGGAACAGGAACAGCCTGAGCAGCAGAGTCGGCGACTGAATCCGACGCAGCAGGAGCGGGATTCATGCCAGAAGCAGCAACAGCGGACGGTGCAGACGGCGCAGACGGCGCGGATGGCGCGGACGGCGCAGTTAGCGCAGATGGCGCAGCATCTCCGCCGAACGACGAGGACGAGTAGACAGATCCGTCAAGGCTGCAGACGTCGACGAAATCGTCAGCGCCTGGCAGGGACTCCACGGCAACATCGAGGCGAAGCGGGTTGAGCTCCTGGTAGATAAACGCGTCGTGAAGATCCTCGTCCGTGGAAACCGTTATGACGTCACCGTCCGAATCCGTGTACGTGACGGTGATTGACTTGTCGGCCGGGATCTTGAAGAGCTTGCGGATTTGACCGTCCACGTGGTCGAAGGCCGGAGGGTCGCGACGAGAGGAGATGCGACGAAGGACGCCGCGGCACTTGACCTGATAGGAAGAATAAAACGAGGAGAATTTGAGGTTAAAAGAAACGTGCAAGTAAATTGAGAATAGTCCGCGACACTTGACCTGATAGGAAAAGCGGAACGCGGGGGAGTTCAAGGCAAGCGAACGTGACATGTCATCGCGTGACACAAGTGAAAGGCAGTCCGGGAGGTGTGAAACCGAATCAACACAGCGAGTAGCCTTGATATATAGTAATAAATGAGAAGAAAAAGCTAAGGTTGAACGCTAAGAATCTATGGCTGAGTTAGGAAAGGAGCCAGTCCTCACCTTAAGCACGTAAAGAGTATCCATGGCGAAGGCAGTCGGCACAGTTACAGCGGAGCACAGCTGGACTTGTTATTGAACTCGAACGTCCTCGCGCAGCCAAACCGCGTTCCCGTTAGCCGCGGTGGCAACTCTCTCCTCCTATCTCCAAGTCCAAGAAACCAGCAGCAATGGTGCTTAACACTAACAGAAACACCCTTCCCTCCTCTCACAACTGGTATCGCAAACCTGACAAGCACAAAACAGAAATTCGTTTCTCAAAGCTCAATGGAAGTCAGAAACTGGAGCAGCAGCAGCACCACCACCAGCAGCAACAGTGGCAAAAGCGCGCAGAACTCGAGAAGACTCAAGCAAACACGCCACCGAAGCTGGCGGAAAGAGGTATGGAACGGCAAACTTGCGTCACCGACAGGCTTCAGCCTGAAGTTTTGGAGGGCGAGGATGAATTCTTTATAGCTGTTGATGGCTCGGCGACGGCTGGGATGAGCTTCATGTTCGTGCCACCCGATATGGCGTCTCTTACACGTCAGTGCGCGGGGAGCTGCGCAGGCGCGCGGGGGATGACGACTGTGGCGGGAGCCCGCGCAGCACGTCATGTGTGGGCGTGCGGCTCCGCCAGTCACATCAAGCATGCACCCCTAGTGGCGAAAGTGCGTATCGAGTTCCACGAAGGTCGAGACAGCTTCTGGGCCCTTCGCGAATGGCAATTCACCTTTGAATGTTACGACCCGCGCAACATTAAACAAAGCATGTACGATGTACGCATATTCAGTACCAGCGTCCGCATGATAAAGAACCATATGAGGCAATACAACACCCATAGAGCAGCACTAAAATCCATATCTTTACATGTTGCAAGGAAAATTCCTTTTCCTTACTTCGCTCCCCTGCTTACCCCGTGCAATACCATTCCCGCCATCCGCACCAAAACAGTGAAACGTTACCCGCTCGAGACACTCGCCTCGACTACGACTCCCGCAGGCCCCCAGAAGTCAGAGAAATTTCTCTGATTTGCCTGAAAAAACTCTGATACCGTCATACCCCGGATATACCCCCATGGGGGGCAATAATAAAACAGGTTTTTTCAGGGGGGTGGGCTTATAATCGAGTAAATTTATAAGCGCCGGCCAGGGCTGACTTTTCGAATAAAACCACTCTGATTTTTTTGGCCCCCCATTTTTTTTTCCAAAAAGTGAATACTCTGATTTCTCAGGAACCAGAGAAGTATAACTCTGAAAATTTTATAATTCAGAGACTAAGGCAGGTTTTCCTACTAACGAACCTTTTGCACAAGTTCGGAGGGATGGGTTTTCCTCGAAGTAACAGGTATGGCGAAGGGGAGTTCGTACTCTGTAGTATGATAACTCATTATCCGGTAAGCAAGTTCTCTGATTTTTTCAGTATCGAAAAAACCATTAGTCTGAAGCACTCATTTTTCAAAACCAGCCAACTCTGAAAAATCAGGAATGTCAGGAAAATAGTCTGAAATTTCAGACAATCATACTAAAATAGTCTGATATCGTCAGCCCTGGCGCCGGCGTTTATAAAATGACATATATATTTTTTCTATTTTTTAACACCAAACTGTAGATCTCGTGCTTGCCTTTCCAATCGAGTCGAAGTTACATGGGGTCGTCTGTGAAATTCTCGCGCGCGCTGGGAGATACACCCAATCTGACTCACATCCAGCTCCTGACAGCTCCTGACAGCTCCTGCTGACTGGACCCGCATCCAGTGCAGGGTCCGAATGTGAAGGGAACCGAATCTGCAACACATCCGCCTGTTAAAGTAAAAATCGTTACAGCATTTTGAACACATTTCAAATTTTAAAGTTTACGTGCGCTTATAATAAAACAAGTTTTTTCAGGGGGTGCGCTTATAATCGAGCAGCGGATATAAGCGCCATGCGCCAATTAAAAGCGCCAGGCGCTTATCCGAGGGTGGCGCTTATATCCGGGGTATGACGGTATTTCAGTCTTTTATCTTAGTGGACTCTGAAAGGTCAGAGTTTTTTTTGCTGTAATCTCTGAATATTCAGAAAATTATTTTAGGCCTTGTCTGAAAAATCAGACTTTTTCTCAAAGTATACTATGATTCATGAGCGTTTTAGCGGGTACCTACTCTCATTATGCCTATGCCAAATCTGACATGACAGCCGCGATTAGTGCATATATTGTGTATGTTATAAACGGGTAGCCCACAAGAGGTACAACCCAATTAGGGTTAGTACTTGTATCCAACTTTCTGTTCAATTCATCCATTCTTGTTCACTTGTTTCAACATGGTATCAGAGCATGTCCTTCCTTAGGACCGATTTTTTTTTTAGGACCCACCACAACGATGCCCCACTAGCTGCCCTGCCGCCCTACCCTACCTGACGCGCCGCCCTGCTGGCCCGCGCGCCGCCCTTTGCTAGCCCGTCGCGCCGCCCCTTGCAGCCCGCGCGCCGCCTTTAGCAGCCCGCGAGCCACCCCTGCAGCACGCTCGCCGCCCCAGCAACCAGCGCGCCGCCCCTGCAGCCCGCTCGCCGCCCCTGCAGCCCGCTCGACGCTCGCCTACGGCCCGCTCGCCGCCCCTGCAGCCTGCTCGCCGCCCGCTTGCGACCCGCTCGCCGCCCCTGCAGCCTGCTCGCCACACGCTCGCCGCCCACGCAACCCGCTCGCCGCTCGCTTGCGGCTCGCTCGCCGCCCCTGCAGTCCGCTCGCCGCCCGCTTGCGGCCCGCTCGCCGCCCCTGCAGCCCGCTCACCGCCCGCTTGCAGCCTGCTTGCCGCCCCTTGCAACCCGCGAGCCGCCCTCTGGTGGCCCGCTCGCCGCCCCTTGCAGCCCGCTCGCCGCCCCTTGCAGCCTGCGCGCCGCCCCTTGCAGCCCGCTCGCCGCCCCTTGCGGCCCGCTCGCCGCCCCTTGCGGCCCGCGCGCCGCCCTCTGGCAGCCCGCTCGCCGTCCCTTGCAGCACGCTTGCCGCCCTCTAGCAGCCCGCTCGTCGCCCCTTGCAGCCCGCGCACCGCCCTCTGGCAGCCCGCTCGCCGCCCTTTCTGCTGGCCGCCCTAGCCGTGCGCCGCCCTACCCTGCCCTGCGCACTTCCCTCGTCCTCGCCCGCCGCCCTACCTGCGTGCTGCTGTGCAGGACGCACGCCACCCTGATCTGCCCGCTATGGCTTCTCTCAGTGTACTCACCTTCGATCATGAGGGCCGTCCGATCCAGTTCGATACGTGGCTCGACGACTTACAGGTGTACCCACTGAGCGATTCTAGAGACAGCGTTTCGTTGTTTGACCACACGTCTGGAGCCTCTCTCGCCCCTCCCGCCACAGCTGACAGTGCGACTCGCTCACAGTGGCTTACTCGTGACACTGCTGCTCGCTTAGCCGTTCGCAACCACCTGCCGTTAGCCGAACGCGCTCACTTTGGCCAGCACAAGACTGCTAAAGCCCTGTACGACGCTGTAGTCGCTCGTTACTCTTCCCCTGCCACTGCTGCTCTCGGCCGCCTTATACTGCCCTACCTGTTTCCGGAGCTGTCCGCCTTTGCAACAGTCGAGGACCTCGTTACCCACCTTCGCACTAGCGACGCTTGCTACCGCTCTGCCCTCCCAGCCGAGTTCCTAGACAGGAACCCCCCCCCCCATGTACATCACTCTCTACTTCACAGTCACCCGCCTCCCTGACTCTCTTCGCGCAGTCAGGGACCATTTTCTCGCTCTTGACCCCACCGACCTCACTGTCGACCTGCTCGAGAAGCACCTCCTTGCAACTAAGACTAGCGTAGTCGCGCCCTTGCCCCCTTCTACGCTTCTGCTGCTGCTGTTGACATCCTTGGTGCTGAGGATGTTGGGGCTGCTTCTGCTCTTGATGGGAAGCGCCGCAGCGGCAAGGGCAAGGGTGGCAAGAGTGGTGGCAGTGGCAGCGGGGGTGGTGGTGGTGTAGGCGGTGGAGGTGGCTGTTAACGGGAGTGAAGTGTTGGCCCCGCCCTCGCTTGGGCAACGCCGACGACTTGGTCGGATGTACGGGAGTAGCAGCCGACCATCCGCAGTGGGAGAGCTACTCGACACGCTTCGTCGAGCTGCAGGGGACCGCTGTGGTGTTGCTGTCGACCAGGGAGCTCGACAGCTGCAACTGTCTGGTTTGGGCGACGGGTGGGTCATCGACCAGGAGGGGCTGTTCGACTGGGAGGTCGATGGCGCAGTCCGTCGACCTGAGAAGTGAGCAGCGGTCGACGAGGGGAGCTCGTCGACTACAGTTGACAGTTCTGGTCGACGGAAGGGATCCGTCGACCAAGGGGTAGCTCGACGGGAGCTGTGGTCGACCAGGGGCACCTGGTGGTCGACCAGGTCGACCGGGTAACCTACTCGGCGAGTTCTGCGGAGGCACGCAAACGTCATCGAGGTCGCGATGGCGAAGGTGGCTCTGGATTGGTATCCCGAAGTCGATGTGGCTCGTCAGGCGCAGACAACAGCCGACGGATGCACAACGGTGCAGGTCGGGCCAATCGTCTGCGCACATCTGCAAACGTGCGCACTACTGTCTTCTGCGGGGCAACGCTGGACAGCCTTTCTGCTGCAGCGTTGGCACACCGTCGACCTGCTGTGTTGGCAGGTCGCCTTTCTGAAGTGCTGGCACGGCTCTTCTATGCTGCGCTGGCAGGCTGTCGACCATGCTGTGCTGTCAGTCGACCAGGCTAGCTGCAGAGTTGCTAGGTGCTTGATGTAGTCGTTCTTGTCATTGCCTTTTTTGAACAATTCTGTAATCCCAACTTTGCTAGTGAAACTCTTGCCAATTTCTCCCGTGATTGTGCAAGCACTAAGGAACCAGACAAAGCTAAGATCACTCCTAGTAGTTCGTGCCAACTCCCGTAGTCTAGCTCACCACCGTTGTAGAGTAAATCTCCGCAGTGGCGGAGGTGGTGGCACCGGTGGGAGTGGTGGTGGGAGTGGGGGCTTCGGTGGCGGCGGTGGTGGCAGCGATGGGGTGGGGGTGGCGGTGGTGGCGACAGTGGGAGTGGTGGCGGCGGAAGTGGTGGCGGTCGGGGCG